TAATTGTTTGAACTCTCCTAGAAAACCATATGTTTCCTACTAAAAGTGGCCTTTTACCAAGGCATCAAGTGTTTGTGTTTGTGTCTCTTGTAAGAGTATGGATTTTCCCAAATCTGACTATCATTAACCAAAAATATAGTTTTTACATTACTGTTTATTGTGTGAAGATCACAAAGTGAATGCAAATGGGAAAATGAAATAGTACTATAGTGTTGTATTAAATAACTACTGCTGTACTAACTACCTTAAACCAATTGTTATTTAAAGTACCATGTGATCGGCCTGTACCATACTACTGACTATAAACACGACGATGTAAGACGTCGGAAGAAATGACGTTTGGCACCCGTAGACTTGCAAGTCCCACTGTAGCGAGCAGCAAGGTGTAGGATAGTCAATCCAGTATAGATCTATACACAAACTCAACGCTCTCCATTTAAGGAGATTCTGGATACAAAACGGGCCATGACAGGTGATGCCATGCCCCGTTACGTGGCTCACATAACTGTATTAGTGCACTTATGAATGTATTGAATGTACTAGCTATATTATGTGTTCTCTCTCTGTCTAGTATGTATGTATATTCTCTCTGTATGGTATTGTTTGTTTCTCATCATAGTATTCTCTATCTGTATGTTATGTTCTCTCTGTATGGTATTGACTCATGTATGAACTGACTCTTTGTATGTTTCATTGTTCTAGTAATAGTATTAGTATCTCCCTAAACTATACCTATTATAGCTTACTAGTAATGTTGTTTGAATGTATGAACATGTGTGTATACCTTTGCTACCCAAAGGTATTGAATAGAAAGAAGTAACCTGTTATATTTATACACATATACATAATATATGACTAGGATTCAAACGACCTTCGGACAAACAACCGATACCCTAAGTCCACAACCAAACAAGGAACAGGAGGTAAGGTGAGCTATCAGTCCTAAGTCCTTTAAATCCTACTTATATAACTATATATAGATACACATTTAACAGAATATAAGTTTAAAAGAGTTTAAGAAAACAGTTTGAAGTAGTTTGTTTGATAACACATTTTGAAAAGTAAGAAATCCACTTGTTTGGTAGTTATTAATCACATGTGATTGATATAATAACTATAATAGATCAACTTGTATCCCCCCCCCCATAAAAGCATTTAAAATCATTTAAAAGATTGATTAAGGGGTATGAACTCACCTGTAGTGAGTGGTTTGGATGAACGGATGTTATACGATGCTAAGTGTCAAGTGCAGACTTGAACACACACAAGGATCCTAGTTAACATATAATAACACATATATGTATCCAATTAGTCATTAAACAACTAATTAACCAAGTTAAGACACCCTAGGACATGATTAACACTTTATTTAAGTGTTATAAGTACTAAGGATTGCATCTAAGGGTTGTAGGATCTTGCATTTGAGTTTAGGGTCCAAGGGTAAACTCTTTATGAGTTTACGGTTTTGGGACCAACTCCCTTGGAGTTTACGGTCGTAAACCCATGATTTTACGGCCGTAAACTCATGGTACTTCTACCATTTTGTGTTTTGAAGCTTTAAAGGTCATAAGAAGCATTCCTACTTCAAGTCTAAGCCTTAGGAAGTGATTGGGGCAACATTTCACCCCTTTGTAGAGTTTACGGCCCATGGACCATTTCTCCATGAGTTTACGGCCGTAAACTCTAATGGTTCATGGTCTTTTTGATGTTTCAAGTCCTAAGCACTTCAAGGATATGATCTAGACTAGTATCCATGGCTTGGTAAGGGACTAGGGCACACAATGGCCCATTCAATAGGGTTTACGGTCCAAGAACATGTTGGACCGTAAACACCTTTGATCTTGTGTTTCCTTGTGTTTTCTAGTTGATTAAGCAGTGTATCAAGCCTTATAACACACTAGGGTAAGAGTACTTACAATAAAGAAGCTTGAAAGGGTGTTAAAAGTCCAAGAACACTAGTGTGTGTTCTTGGTGTTCTTGGTGAAACTAAGAACACTTGAAGATCTACACAAATGGAATGATTTCACGGATGAAATCATGTAAGATCACTAGATTAAGTAAGATATCAACTAATTAGGGCAAGAAACACTTACAAAGTTAAAGATCAAGAAGGAAAATCGGATGATACTTGAGAGGATTTGAGTTCTAGTTCTTGAAAGTGTGAAAAAGTGTTAAAAATGACTAAGTGTCACTTTTATACCCCTTGGGGTTTACGGCCGTAAACACCATGTTTAGGCCGTAAACTCCAAACTCTTGGAGTTTTGGGACTTTATTGTTGCACAATAAACCCTAGGGTATCCTCTCTCCAGTTATCTCCTGAAGTACTAAGCTTTGAAACACTCAAACTGACTCTACACAGCTCAAAAGTTAGCAGAAACAGTTCTGACTTCTATTGAAGTGAATTGTTGTACAGAATAGAAATTTCGGGTTGTCACAGATACTGTACATGACGTCCTCCACCCCCGAACGTTTCCGCCGTTCCGGTTTGGGGGTGTGACATAAAAATAATGTTTGTTTTCCAAGATTTGAAGGATAGAGGACACGCATTTGTGTGTGCCCTAAAATTAGTGTCAGAAAAGAAAAAAAAACACGGAGGGCGCCTATCATAAAATGTGTGTCATGTAAGTGTGTCACTTTATAATTTAATGTAACACACGTTTTATGGGGAAAATGAAATCCCCAAAAATTAACCCCCGCCTATTCGATTCCAAAAATTAAAACCCCCGCCTCTTCGAATTAGCAAAAAAAGCCCTAGGTCATTCTTCTTCAAACGCAGCTTCCTCAATTCCCCGATCCATCACCTCCACCAAAAACCTAATCCTCGGTTCCAACAAGTTCTTACAATCTTAATCAAAATCAGTATATACCTTGAGTTGGTGATTGCATTGGAGTATCTTCATGGATTGGGGATCGTTATAGAGACTTAAAGCTAGAAAATGTAATGATTCAGGAAAATGGACATCTAATGCTTGTCGATTTCGATCTATCAATCAAATTATCACCAAAACCTTCGTGTGAAGCTCGATCAGCAAAAACCATGTCGTCGCCGTCGCTGTCACCGACGACATCCGAGTCATCAATGAAGAACAAAAACCGATTTTCATTTTTTTCCAAGTGTTGTCGCCCGACCAGTCCGGTGGAGGACTCGGTACATCCTACCGCCGAGTCAGTCAACAACTCAGTCTCAAAACCACATTGCGAGCCTCGTCACTCCTTCTCAAAATCAAACTCCTTCGTCGGAACGGAAGAGTAAGTTGTGCCTAAGATGCTAAAAAGCAACGACCATGATTTCTCGGTGGACTAGTGGTGTTTAAGCGTCGTTTTTTATATTAATACAAATTTACCAGTTCCATAAGTTGTAAAATTTATATAAATTTACTCAGGGAAAAGCTGTGATTACTTTTCTTGATGCAATATTGGACAAAACACTTCATAGCACTGTGGCTTTACTTGTTGGTAGAGGGCGTGCAAAGTCAATTGCACTTGGTCTTGCAATTGCAGGAGCTGTTACTGCAGGGTATATGACACTCCTTTGACTTTTTTTGACTTCATGAATCTAATTAACACATGATTTTTCAGGTATTCAAATATATTTGTGACTTCTCCTAGCCCAGAAAATCTCAAAACTTTATTTGAATTTGTATCAATGGGATTCAGTATGCTTGAGTACATGGTAAAACTTGTTTCCATTTCTTGTTGTATACATTTTCATATAAATATGATGATATATTACTTTATGGACATGTTTTATAAGAGCATTTGGATTATGATATTGTGAAAAGCTCAAATCCAGAGTTTAAAAATTCATTTATAATTCAGTAGGGGTAAGAGAGGTACCACACGGACTGTTGAGGTGGAGGAAATTGATGAAAATGACGATAGTTGTGAGTTGTGTGGTGATGGTGGTGAGTTGATTTGTTGTGATAATTGTCCCTCAACTTTTCATCTAACATGCTTATGTGTACAGGTGTGTCTTGCTTTCCCTTTATTTATTCCTTAACCATTATTTTTATTTTCATTTACTTATATAATTATATAAGTAAATGAAAATAAAATAATTTATATTTTCTTGTCAATGTCTAAAATAAAAGTTCAAAAATCAACATTTTATTTACAGACCATGAGGAATTTCATGGAGAAACTGGAATAGAAAGAGACTTGATGTCATCAACCACGTGGTTCTGTGGGGAAAGCTGCAAGGTGGTAAGAATAGAATTGGTATCTTTGAATTTTGTTTGACATTATTAATAACTTTTGATCTTGATTTTTTATAGGTTTATTCTGGGTTTCATTCCCGGAAAATTTTGAATCCCTTGCTCATCAGCAGGGTACAAATTCAACCTCTCCTACCCCTACTGAATTTTTTGCAGGTGTTACTATTGAGAACTTAGTGAAATCATTGCACCAGGCATTGGGTAGCCCTGCTTTAGGGAAGAACAATCTTAAAAGATCCAATCTGAGTGATGAGGATGCTCAGTCGAGTTCATCTTGTTGGACAAACAATGAGTCTTCATTTTCTGAGCCTTCTACAACCTCCACTTCTGGTTTCTGGGATAGGACTGTTCATAGCAAGATATCGAGTATCAATGATCATGATGATTTTGCCTCAGCTGTCAGTTACATGTTATGAACTGGACTTATAAGAACAGATTCAATAACAACAATTCAACTAAAAGCTTCAAATACTGATTGATAACCTCAAATTTACCCAAAAGATTACAAGAACAAATGATAGGTTAGCTGATTCGAGATAGCTACTCTCCCAAGGAATAAGTTCCAGATTCACAAAATATTCATGGATACCTCACTCTCCCTTTCCACTACCCTCTTATACTATCTCACATAACAAACTAACAATATGAAATGCCCAAAATACCCCTGATTCTCCTTGCACTAGTAAGATGCTCTTTATTTGTTGATTTCCCAAACTACCCCTATCTAAAATAACATGATATAGTGGATGCGTAACAATATCCCACCCTCGAAGAACCACCTTGTCCTCACGGTGGATAATAAATGATGTATAGCATCCTGATTCTTCCGGTTGGTCCTTTTATCTTATCCTCATCCTTATAATGATCTGCAGTCGAGATACTTATTCCACCCACTTGCTCATCTATCCCCAAGTTCATCTTAACAGATTCATCAGTCTTCCCATTTTCATTAATACTCAAACACGGGGGCAAGTACCGGTCACTAGAACCATCAGCCTTCTTGAACTTGACTAGAGCCTTAGCAATACCCCATCCCAAAAGATGCACCTTGTTCTCAAGGTGAAAGGAAAAAACATAAGGCACGGTTATGAATTCTTCCCAAGTAACTTTCGATATAAACTTGCCCTTCCACTATATAATGACTTCTATTTGACCCTCTTTTGATTCTTTAGCCTCACTAAATCTACCATCCTTAATTAATTCGGAGTGAGGAGTTTGTGCAGAATTCCTATCATTAGCTATCACCACCGCTTTTCCCTCTTTCTTATTTTCAATGATCTCATTGAACATTTCAATGTATTTCTCGATGTGTTTCTTCCTTATGCCTTGCAGAATCTTGTTTTGTTGCAGCATTTCATGGAAATTGTTGTTAACTGGTAAGTCATAGGTATCCACAATTTCCTCCAAGGAACCAAGATATTCTTGCATCAGCTCCTTGCAGTTGTTCATAGTAAACACCCTTCTCATGTACAACTTGATGTTATTCTTGACTGCCAGATGATCTTCCCAGTCATTTGTTGAACTTCTGTAGAAGAAAAAATACGCTTCTTTGGTAATCGCCTATGGTATGTAGAGCCATGTTGGTTTTTGTTTGTTGATGAGCTCCCATTCGTGAGAGACCTCCAGGTTATTCTTATTCTTACCCTTCTTTTTAGCCTCGTCTTCCTTATTACCGATTTGTTTTTCAACAATTTTCTCAGTCCATAGGAAGATGCGATAACTGATGAATTCATAATGTTTCTGCACAAGATACTTGATCCTCCTCTCCTCTAAGTAACCCTTCTGGTTCTCGATGAACAAGAGGGTGATTTTAGTCATTCGACCCAGTTGCTCATAATTGACGTCCTTAGTGATTGTGAACGAACCACCATCTTGGGATTCCCCAACGTATTGCTCATCATCATGCTTTATGGTGGCAATCACTTTCTCAGCAACGAGGTAGTGTGAAAAGGAATTCCCATTAACAATCTTAGTAGGTGAAGTGGCTAGAGCCAACCATCGAAGAACTGAGTTAGAGGGGGATGTAACGGAAGTAATCACTATTTTTGAATTGTTGAATGGCTCAAGGACTGGTTTTATAGTGGGAGAACGAGCTTCTAGGTGCAAATCGCTGGTAAGAGATCCCGGATAAACAACTTCATCTGGAGGAAATAAGATGGGGAAATCAGTATTAGTGTGAGTTAGACTATCGAGAATCGATAGTTACTTGTTGACGTTAACTAGGTAGGGTTCTAGAATTCCGGTGAAGATTTTGAGCGACTCGAGCTTGATTTCGGGATCAGGAAACCTTTTGGACCGGTCTGGATATTTGAGTCGACATGCGATATCATTGTGAAGGTGCCCTTCCTGTGAATAGGTTGTCGATTGGGGTTTAGTCGTTGTTTTAATTTTAGTGGTTGCTTTAACTTCAGTCGGGCTTTCACTCTTGTCAACTTTGTCATATAAACCCATTATAAGATTCATATTGACTTGGCCCAAATAATTAATTTCAGCCCACTTGTCTATTTTTAACCCAGGTTGGCGAAACCCTAGAAATGTTACCTCTGTTACGTCTTCTTCTAACAGAGTCGTTACCTCACATTTGGCGACCAGAGAAGACGTCGCTAGCTGCCGACGATCCCGGATTGCTTCTTCCTGGTTCAAAAACGAATCTCTATTTTCCCTGTTCCTTGCTTCCAATTCCCGAAACGTTGGTAGTGATGACGTGGGTGATCTGAATCGACGAATAAGGCCCTTCAACTCTTCCCAATCTCGTATGGGTTGCCTCCGATGCTCCCATTCATAGAAAAGTAAAGTGTTGCCCTCTCGAGACCTCATAGCAGCTTCCATTGTTTCTTCATTTTCATATGAGCATAATGACCTTTCTACATTAAAAATCCAATCCTCTGTGTTAGTTCCATCAAACAACATCATCTCATGTTTGTGAAATCTTCGGTTGGTCCCTCCTCTGTATTCGCCTCCGGTAATATAGTCGCCGCCTCCGCCGCCGGAACCACCTCCTGTTCTTGAGCCTCCTGTATCAGTGTGCGACGCTCCACTGTAAACCCTTGGAGTTTCCTCCATGGATAGAACTGGTGTGTTGCTAGGCTCTCCCTCCACGGTTTTCTTCTCATTGTTGATTGTTGGTCGGCTTTTGGCTATGGCACCCAAAATCTCCTCAAACTTTTGATCCATCTTCAACTGATTTTGGTCCATCTTCAACTGAAGAGAGGCTATGGAGTCATTCTGATGTTGGATCTGATGCCCTTGATTCTACATTCGGTCATACAACTGCCTTATTTCAGTTTCTAGAGATTCAACCCTCTTGAGTAGACCTCCTCCAGCATCCTTCCCTCCTCCTTTATCTCCAGCCCTAATCCCAGATGAATGCTCTGATACCATTTGTTATGAACTGGACTTATAAGAACAGATTCAATAACAACAATTCAACTAAAAGCTTCAAATACTGATTGATAACCTCAAATTTACCCAAAAGATTACAAGAATAAATGATAGGTTAGCTGATTCGAGATAGCTACTCTCCCAAGAAATAAGTTCCAGATTCAAAAAATATTTATGGATACCTCACTCTCCCTTTCCACTACCCTCTTATACTATCTTACATAACAAACTAACAATATGAAATGCCCAAAATACCCCTAATTCTCCTTGCACTAGTAAGATGCTCTTTATTTGTTGATTTCCCAAACTACCCCTATCTAAAATAACATGATATAGTGGATGTGTAACATTACACTGCTAATCAGAATAGCAATATCATCAACAAATGTAGTGCTGATAAAGTCATAATAGATGGTTTGGGAAATAAGAAGTTCAATGATAGTACTGATTTGTCAAAGAATTTACTTTGTTTAGATATTGCAAATTCTATTCCTAGTATCAACAGGTTACCTCCTCCAATTTCTTCAGGTGTTTATTATGTTGTTATCAATTGATTATTGTTTTTAGTTAATTTATTCACATATATAATATGTGTGCTTATTTTATGGTTCTAAGAATTTATGTATGCAGGTCCTGTTAACGAGTCAAGAAATCAGCTCCCAGATATACTTTGTGTCATACAGGTTTGCTATTTTTTAGTTTTTTTAATATTTATATGGTTGATTATTAAATGATTCTTGTCTTATCTGTTACTTGTAGCTTGGTTATGGTTCAGCTGACATGCAATTGTTGTCAAGGTACTTACTTTTAATCAACAAGTTTATATTTTGGCATTTCCAAATATACCCGTTTGATCACATAGTATACACTGTTGTCACGTTTCCATTTCTTTTTGCTGTGATATTTGATGCTTGGGGGCATGGCATATGCATCCTGATTGCAGCTTTATTTTTAATATTCAAGGAAAATAAATACTCAAGTCAGGTATGTTATCTACCCCACTTCCTGTCTTGACCTAATTTTTATATAATACGTAAATCTAATCATTTATGAGAGATTTTGAATTTATAATTTATATCAAATGAATACACAAACTTGGAGACATATGGAAATGACTTTTGAATTTATAATTTATATCAAATGAATACACAATATTTTTATAATTTTATAAAAACTCTTTTTTTTAGTGTTATACAAACAAAGGAATTATAATCGTGTTTTTTTATTGACTTTGTGGCGTTGTCATAAACATATAATGTTATATATGACAGGACATGGAGGAGGTGAGTTTCTGAATTTTATATTTTGTGGTGCTTGCAGAGTGTCATGTATTGATTGATTAATGGTTTGGTTGAACACAAGTCACACGATACTTCGTGCATAGTTTGGATTATATTAAATTGTTAATGGTTCAGTTTAGAATTCAAGCGATGTCTAATGTTTAATGATCAATTTCACAAGTGATGACCTCACATGTGACAATGCAGATCTTGAAGGTGAATCAGGGTCATGCTCTAAGCAATTGAGAAAGCTACTTCTATTCTCTAGGAATGACTAATGATCAATTTCACCTGGTTGCCAAGGTTGCCACAAAGGTAGGTGCTTGATGTTAACTCTTTTTATCTTGGATTACTTGACTGGTAGAATAGCAACCAAATGCCTCATTTTCATTAATTTGGCTAAAAAACTATTTTCATTGCCTATTAAGTCACTAAATTAACATTTCATGTTAAATATGTCACCATGCTTATAGTTTTTTAGTATTGAAGTTACTCAGGTATCTGGTTATCTAGTCAGTATACACATGTACAATCTTTTTGATAAATATGCCAATTAAGTAAGTAAACTAATATTTGTATGTTAAATATGTCACTGCATTTACAATTTTAATGTTGATTATCACCCACATTAGCACTTGCTAACCATATATTCACAATCCTATTTACAAAATGATCCAAAGAATCATTTTCCTAAGCTTAGTGGCCTAATTGGCATTGGCAAAGAAAATAGACAAAAATATATATAGTTGGATGCCATACCAGCTTAATCTACCCTTTTATCTTTCCTTATTTACCTAACTTTTGGTACTAGTGCTTCTAGTTTGTGATAACATTACATGATATCTTTCTGTAAATACGCAATTCAAGAACATTGGATGGGACCAAGAGGTTCTGCTCTAATATGTGGTTACACAACTTATCATGTATTCGATTGTAATGAACTGAATTATTTATTTATTTATTTATTTTTGCACTTGTGCTGATATGTATATGTTCTTGTGTGTAGGTTGGTGTCAAAAAGCTTGCAGATGTTCACTTTTCCCTCATTTGACCACTCATATCCGACACAAGTATTTGCAACATTCCTTGTTTGATTTTTCAATTATTTATATTAGCATATTAATATTTCGCAACTAACATTTGACCATACGTAGGTAGCAATTAGCATCATAAGTTGCTTAAAAACATAAAATTTGCTGATGAAATGCTTATGATTGTGGGTCCAGATAACATGATTTGTATTTTTCCAGATCTCATAACCAATATATTATAAAATACATGTATTACTTAAAGTTTTTTTTGTTTATTTTTATACACGGACTACATGTCAAGCCAGCAACTTATAGACTTCGTTCATGAACAACTAAAAACTATAAGTCCATCAACACAACATTATACTTATAAATGAGATCAAAACTAGAATCTTTGCTTTTATTACACATGACCACACCAGGCAAACTCTTTAGAGTAAATTTGTAACATCCGTCTCTCGAGGTATTATTTAATTTAAGTAATTAATATTTGTTAATTGGACTAATAATGAGACAAGTGGATTTGTGGAATGAACCTCAAGCAAGTGGGTCGAGATCTTGGGTTGCCCATAATACGTACGTTGGGCGTAGCCTCAGTGTACGTGGGGCGTAGAGGTGCCTAGGATGCGGGGGACGGTACCGGGAGTACGCGCAGCGTACCGGGAGTACGCGCAGCGTACGTGAGCTGATGCCAAAACCCTGATTTTTAGGGCTTAAGACATATAAATACCCCATTATAGCCCCCCTGGCCTCCTTACCAGCCTCTTACCCTCAGAGAACCCTAATTTGCCTTCATACTCCAATGTTGTGTGTCTTTTGACCTTTTGAGCTCATTTTTGGTGAAGAAAGGCTTGGAAGAAGAGAAGAAGAGTTGAAGAAGAAGAACTTCAGTATCTTGAGCTCAAGGATCTGGGACTATTTCATCTTTTGGCACTCAAAGGAGGTATAAAGCTCCTAACTTTCCTCTTGGAAGCTTAGATCTAGGATTATGGAGATTTTGACCTTTTTAGGTCCAAAGGTTGGATCTTTATCATGCAACTTCGTTTTTGAGCTTAGGGTTGCCACCCTTGGAGCTCAAAGCCTTCCTTAAGCAGTAAAGTTTCAACCTTTAAGGCATTTATGAAGCCATGCATGAGATCTAGACATTGCTATGGAGTTAGTTGCTATTATTCAATATTTGGGCTCATTTGGTGGGTTGTAAGCCACCAAGTGATTGATTTTATGGATTAAGACATTAAAGAGGACTTGGATATGTAATTATAGCCTTTGTATCAGAGTATTAAGCACTTAATGGGAAAAGTGACTTAACAGGAAAGTACGTTGGGCGTACATGCAGTTACGCGCAGCGTACACACCATTTAGTCAGTACACTTAGCGTACAAGGGAGTATGCCCCGCGTACTCAACAGATATGGGCTTGGCGTGTTTTGGGCCTCGGTTTGGCCCATACTTTGGATTTTGGGCCTTAGAGGGTTGGGTCTCGAATTAGAAGTATTGGGCCTTTTGGGCTATATTGGGCCATTCAAGATTATTCATTTTGGGCTAAGGACTTATTGGAATTGTTAACAGGACCATTTGAAGTGTTGGGCCCGATTTAGAAAATTAGGCCTATAGTGGGCCTTAGGGAGCCTTTGATGGGTTGTGGGTGCACTCGGTTAATAAATTAGAATTTGGCCTTAGGAATGGTTCGAGTTGGGCCAAGCGGGTAAAATGGTCATTTTACCCTAAGTAGTATTATAGATTCTGATTGAGTATTATTATGATTATGATAGCCGGGAGTCATCGGAGCAGCTGTTAGAGGTTAATTCCCGTGAGATTCGAGACTCAGCTTTACAAGTTGAGTTACCTTCCAGTAGGAGTGGGTCTAAGGCCACAATGCCGGCCCACTAGTAGGAGTTTGTAGTTAGATAATTGTCTGGTATGCCACTATTTGTTATGTTCTATGTGTTAGTATACTATGATTCTATGTGGTAGTGGTAGGGGTGAAATAGTCCACGATTCCTGGTTGAAATAGACCAAAGGGGAGGCCAGCACCCAGATATGCTAGGCATTCATCCGGTTGAAATAGACCGAAGGTGAGGCGAGCACCCAGATATGCTAGGCAATTATCCGGTTGAAATAGACCGAATGGGAGGCCGGCACCCAGATATGCCTGGCTAGATATGTTATTGTATGGTATGTGGTATGATGGGGGAACTTACTAAGCTTCGTGCTTACAGTTTACAGTTTTGTTTTCAGGTACCTCTTCATCGAAGGGGAAGGAGCCGGCACGGTAGCAGCGGATCGCACACACACTCGATTTCCGCACTATGATGACCTTGGGATTGTACTCTGACATTATTATTATTCCATGACATGTTTTTATGACACTTGACTTATGGGTTATGAGTTCGATATGATATTGATGTTGTTTTTCAGTAAATAGTTTTAATAAATTACTTAATCAAAAACGAAATCTTTGGTCTTGAAAATTGGGATGTTAAAAAGTTACAAGTTTAGTCCTC